CAATAATTATAATAGCCACAAGATTCTTTATGGTTAAATAAATCATAAACGATTCCAATTGAAACTGGAAATCAATTATAAATTGAAGTTATGCCTTAATTAAGAGCTTGTACACATGAATTAATGAAAAATTATGATAAATAATAGAAAAAGATCTAAAAATACATTGCAAAATTATTATGGATCTCATAGAAATAATACATTAAGAGATTAAACTTGTGTAATAAAGTAAATTCTTTTATATTTGACCTATAAATGAAAAATATTCATTTATAGGTCAGATATAAGTACTAAGTCCCCTTGTCTCTAATTCAAGATCATATTTTTTTTTGCAGTGTGTTGCATGTCCTAATTACAAATTTAGCACTATTGGTTTAATTAGATAATTCTAAGCGTTCATAAAGAGTTCCCATCCATCCATATTCACCTGTCCAGCAATAATTAGTAAAAAACAATGAATTGATTACCTAAAAAAACCGCCACCATCTATTAAAATTCATTAAAAACTATTATAACACGATGCAATTTTTAAATCGTATCACACATCATTAAGTATCCTCTCTTACTCGACAAACAGATTAACTTTGTGACATTTAAATAAATTTTTGTGATACTTAATTTTTATTTTGACTTTTTATGATTGAAAACAATAAATCAATATTTTTATGTTTAAGATTATTTTCTGATGGATTTTTTGACTTCTCTTATTTGTTAGACTTAATAAAAATAATTAAAAAGATAATAAAAATAATTTCTATTTTTCATTTAAAGATGTTTAAAAGTGAATTTTAGTGCAATTTGAAAGACTATCCTTAACAGAACTACTCAGAATTCATCAAAGGAATCATTGATTCTGATTAAACCTTAGAAAATATTTTTAATGGTGATTAAGGATAATTTGAAGAATTTAAGATTTATTTGAAAAGCAAGATTTTCAATGATCCAAATGAAATACAATAGCATCTTACCAATATATATAATTAATGGAACACTTAATCTAAAGTTGTAATTAAAAGGATAGAAATTTTCAGACTTATAATGCTAATGTACTTAGGATTATTAGAGAGGAATTTCTCTCAAGGCGGATTTTATATTATTGATATGAGTTCAATAAAATATACGAATAATTACATTTCTAAATAGAAATTGAAATGTTTTTAGAACTATATCAAGACATTTTACTTAAATTCTGATGCCATTTAAAATGATCAATTAATATTTACTAAAAATACTGTTAACAAAGAAGAGTTCAAAAAGAAGTTTGAATAATCAATTTATTAGAACATTGATTTTGAATTCACTTAATTGAAAAATGAAGATCACCAAAATTCTACTGTTGTAGACTTTGCTGATTAAAATATAGGAGGACTAGTTCTTGATACTAGAAATTGTGCATAAGAAGAAGTAAAATTAAATATTAAACCAAGATTGTTATGCTAATATTCCCTGAAGCAACAGTATCTAAGATTTTTATTTCATAAAAGAATGAGACTGAAGCAGTATTAATTGAAAATTTGAAAAAATACAGTAATTATACTGGATATGAACAATCATTTAATTGCTAACCTTCTATGACTCTTTAGGGAAATTATAATATGCTAGTATATTCTACACAATATTATTTCGGCTATTGACGAAATACCATTTTACAGTGAAATTAATTTACAGAAAAAAAAATTAATAGAGAATTTATAAAATGTTATGCAGGGTCTGAAATATCATTAAGAAACTAGCCCAATTGTTATATATCTACAGGAAGATGGGGTTGCGGAATTTTTAGAGGCAATCCTTACTTAAAGACATTGATTTAATTTTTAATTTTTGCTATTGCAGTTAATTAAGTAAGTCGATAACAATGAAGAATAATTATCAATTGCGTAAATGACTAGTCTTTTTTTACTTTTGGAGTTTAGTTAAAGAAATTATAAGGTCACAAAGGAGTATAGCTTAATTTAATAAATCTCAAGAAATCAATATTGTATATGCAAAATGGAATAAATCAATAAGCATTTTATATTGAAGGAAATAATATTATAAGCTAGATATACACAATTTTGACTCAAGGTATTTAATAAATATAAAAATTAAGATTAGGAAATGATGATGATGTAATTTAAGCCTAAATTGATTAAGAAATTAAATTAGTA